AAGGACCGTAGTCGACTGGAGATAGAGGTCGGAAGGACTGTAGTCGGTGGGCGACGTAAGTCAGAAGGACCCTAGTCGGTGGGCGACGGAGGTCGGAAAGACTGTAGTCGGCGGGTGACGTAAGTCAGGAGGATCGTAGTCGGTGGGCGAAGGAGATCGGAAGGACCGTAGTCAGTGGGCCAAATAAGTCAGAATGACCATAGTCGGCGGGCGATGGAGGTCGGAAAGACTTTAGTCGGCGGGCGACTTTAGTCGGCGGGCGACTTAAGTCAGGAGGACCGTAGTCGGCAGGTGACGGAGGTCAGAAAGACTGTAGTCAGCGGGCGACGTAAGTCAGAAGGACCGTAGTCGGCTGGCGACGGAGGTCGGAAGGACTGTTGTCTGACGACGAAGGTCAAAAGGACGACGTTAGGTAGAAGTACAACAATGGAAAGAAATCCATCTTTGGATAGATGTCCAGCAAAAGTCCGATAACCGGTAGAAGTCCGGCATCAGGGAGAAACTTGGCGATGAGTGAAGGTCTGGCATCAGGTAGAAGTCCGACGTCTGTTGGAGGCCGAGGAGAACTCCGGTATCACTTGGGCGGAGTTTCGGCGTCAGGGGGGAACTCTGTCGTTACTTGGGCAAAATTTCAGCGTCTCGTGGAAGTCAGACATAATTCTGGCGTCCCGTGGAAGTCGGGCAGAATTCTGGTGTCCATGGAAGTTAGGCAGAATTCTGGCGTCATTTGGAGTTCGAGCGGAACTCCGGCGGTGGTCGAGGAGGAGTCTCTTCCTTCCTATTCTTCTCTTCTCCTATTCGTCTTTCTTCCCCAACCGAGCCCCCCCCCCCAAAGAGAAATGAGGGGTCTATTTATAGATTTTCTGGAGTGGCATGGCTCGTAAATAGATGATAGATCAGGGGCGAATATGGAGTGGTTCGGATGAATGGACGATATTGAATCCTTCGATCATGGACCGTTTATCAAGCATTTGAAGGTCTTAATGACTTCGGAATTGTGGTTCGAACTTTTCAACAGCGCTTCGGGTTCTTGATTTGGACTCATTTGGGCTCAGATCGAGTTGAACTTGGTATCATTGGGTTAGTATTTTCGAGACGCTCAGTTTGACTGTAAGTTTATTGGAATCAAAGTTCAGGTGATCCCGGATTTAATTTTTGAAGTTTCCAACTTGATTTTCACCTCGAGATTCGTGCCCGATCAAGATAATTTTTCGATGACCTATCAAAATTTTACAAAACACTCTGTAAATTGCTAAAAAATAAATATTTACTTTTTATGTTTAAGCATTATTTGGTTTCAATAATTTTCTTTTTTATTTAAAAATGGTTAGATCGATTTTGACAATAACAATCACTGACAAATAAATTTATTAATATTGCAAACACTCTTTAAATGTAATTTATGGTGATGTGTAAGCTAATTGATCGTTCTCTAATAGGAGGCTCTATATACAATTATAGAAATCTACAAGATCAAAATTTCTCATGAACCCAATGGGCAATGTACTTAAAATCTAGCTAAAGATAAATAACCATCCAATTGACGCTATGTTGAAGTGTTGAACGATAGAGAATAATCGTTGATATATCATAAAAAAATTATCTTGATTGGGCACGAATCTCGAGGCAAAACCAAGTTGAAAATTTCTAAAATTAAATCGGAGACCATATGAACTTCGATTTCAGCAAACTTATAGTCGAACAAAACATCTCAAAAATACGAACCCAACGACTCCAAATTGGACTTAATCCGAGCTCAAATGAGTCCAAATCAAAGACATGAAGTGCTTTTGGAAGGTTCAATCCATAATTTGGATTGCCAAATAGTTTTCAAACATGACTTGCTTATAATCAAATCGAGCAACTCGACGAGACGAATCCAACGAGCCCAAGATCAGCGAATTATGATATCATTAAGAGATTTAAATGTCCAATAAATGACCCACAATCAAGAGATTCAACATCGGCCGTCCATCCAAACCACTCTCACTTTAGCCTTGATCTTCCTCAAATTTACTGATCATGCTACTCTCAAAAAACTATAAATAGACCACTAGGGGGGGGAACAAAAGGAGGCTCAAACTGACTCCAAAGTTTTGCCTGATTTCCAACTTATGCCGGGGGGGGACAAAAGGAGGCTCAAACTGACGCCAAAGTTTTGCCTGATTTCCAACTTATGCCTGAGTTTTGCTCAGGCGCCAACTGACATCGGAGTTCTGCTCAGGCACAGAAGTTCTGTCCAGCCGCTGACTTTTGTTGGACTTCTACTAGACGCTGAAGTTCCGCCCGTCGTTAGATTTCTACCTGATTCTTAACTTATTATCGTCGTCAAACTTCTTCTCATCGCCGGACTTTCGTCTTACTTCTACCCAATGCTAAATTTCTGCCCGTCGTCGGACTTCTGCCCGTCATTGGACTTTTGTCAGACTTCTACCCAATGTCGAACTTCCTCCTATAACCGAACTTCTGACCTCCGTCGCCAGCCAACTACGGTCCTTCTGATCTCCTTCACCAGGAAACAGTCTTTTGACTATTGTTGCCTACCGACTATGGTCCTTTTGACATCAGTCGTTAGACAACAATCTTTCTGGTCACTATCGCCCGCCGACTATGGTCCTTACGACCTCTATAGCTAGATTGCGGTCCTTTCGACCTTTGTCGCTTGACTATGGTCTTTTCTGATCATTATCATCCACCAACTACAGTCCCTCCGACCACTGTCACCAAACTACATTCTTTTCGACCTCCGTCGCCCGCCGATTACGTTCTACCAACCAAATAGATGTATCAATAGTGATTCTTTCAAGTCTCATCATACAATGCACTCTATATGATGCAAATACTAGTGGATTCATCCAAACTAGATAAAGACCCTGTCATTTTTCCCCTTTTCAGGGTTTTCCACGTAAAAATTTTAGCTTCTCTTATAAATATTACACCCTCACTTTTTATCTAATTGTGTTGGATCTTCGTACAAAGCTAATTCGTTAAACTTTATATTTCTTTACCGCCACAAAAATTCCTGGACGAATCATAAAGTTCAGAAAAAAACATTCAACATTAGAAAGAGTGGGAGTGTTCCATAACAAAGGAAGCATTCAATAAACATGAATAATTCTTAGCAATTTAGGTAGAGATTTTGATATGTTGATATTTGCGATATGATATTTCTTGGAAGATGATGGAACTCAAATCAAAGTACTAGTTTTTTATCATATATGTGTGTTGCGGACTATATATACGCGGCGATAGAGTTTTAATTTTTCATCTTAGCGTTATACGGATATCCAGTTCACACACAGAGAACACAAGATTTTTTACGTGGAAAACCCTTGAAAGGGGAAAAACCACGGGGCCTAGCCCAGTTGAAAAGATTTCACTAGAACTTGAGTTGGTTAGAATGGGCTGATTCGTCTCTAAGGACGATCAGATTACAAGTAACAATTGTACAATTGAAGTCCGAGTGTCGAGTAATGGTCTGGCAGGACTTCAGGCCTTAGATGATGATAAGGCAGAAACTTCGGGCCTTAGATGTAGGTCTGGCAAATGTGAGAATCTTCAATGATGGCCAGGCAAAGATGAGAGTTTCAAGTGAAAGACTGGCAGAGCGTAGAACGTCAGGTGATGATCTGGCGGAGTGACGACATTAGGTGATGATCCGATGGAGCACAGGGCATCAGATGGTGATCCGGCGAAGTGACGGCGTTAGGCGGTGGTCCGGTGGAGCACAAGGCGTCAGGTGGTGGTTCGGCTGAGTGACGGTGTTAGGCGGTGGTCCGGTGGAGCACGGGGCGTCAGATGGTGGTTCGGCTGAGTGACGGCGTTAAACGGTGGTTCGATGGAGCACAGGGCGTCAGGTGGTTGTTCGACTGAATGACGGCGTTAAGCGGTGGTCCGGTGGAGCACAGGGCGTCAGGTGGTGGTCCGGCGGAGTGACGGTGTTAGGCGGTGGTCCGGTGGAGCACAGGGCGTTAGGTGGTGGTCCGTCGTCGAGCCGTTCGATTCGAGTATAAGCTTGTAAAAATTGGAGACCGTTTGGTAACTCAAATTGCGGTTTGAACCTTCCGACAACACTTTGAGCCCTTGATTTGGACTCATTTGGGCTCGGATTGGGTTGATCTTGGTGTCGTCGGGTTCGTATTTCCGAGACACTCAGTTTGACTATAAGATCGCTGAACTTGGAGTTCGGGTGCTCCCAAAATTAATTTTTGAAGTTTCCAACTAGCTTTTGCCTCGAGATTCGTGCCCGATCAAACTAATTTTTGATGATGTATCAATGTGTAAATAGTGTAATTTATGTAATACCTGATGAAGCTTTATATCATTCAGATAGGTGACGTGCCATGCTATGTGAATGAAGCTTCAACACGAGTAACTTGGTGAGGCATTTTGGCTGACCAAGATAGATCCAACTAAGGCTTCGTTTGGGACGGTCTTTTTATTGCTTTTTAAAACAATTTTTTAATACAAAAATTAAAATTTTTATACTAGAAAGTTGCTTTAAGAAACAGTAAAAAAGCCGTCCCAAACGAAGCCAAAATTAGAGCTGATGAAGATTATATCGAGTTTATTTGGACCCGAGCGATGAGCTAGCACAAAGTGAACGATCAAGATGGGTATGCAAAATGAGGGTTACATTTTAGGGCAGCTTTAATTAAGATTCTTTTTCAAAGTATTTTAAGAAGTTATTTTTAATTAATTTTCATTTATAATAACCAAATCTCACATACTTCAAAAAATAACTCCTTAAATTTTTTAATAATAGTAATAAATGCATATCTCAAAGAGAAAAATATAATTATCATTTTTCATCCTCAATAATTTATTAAATTTTAAATGATTTAATTATATAACAAATGAATACAGAAATCAATTAATTCATTTTAACTATTTGAGCATTAATTTTAGAAATAAAAAAAATATTGATAATATAAACTTAAATCAAAATTTTTATTTAATTTAGGTGTCGAAATAATTAGCTCTTTGAAAAAATAATTATGCACAACATTTATCCGCAGAAACCCCGCGAAGGCAAAACCAACGAGCGATGTCGGTTCTCCAAATCGTACCTTCTTCCCCTACCCTTCACCACCTACTTTTACCCCCACAACCCCGTCAACCTAACAAATTCCAAAAAGCACCTCTACCATTCACTGCCGACGCCGACGAGCCCGCATCGCCGTCCTCATCATGGGTCGAAACCCTTCGCTCTCACTCCCGCAACAACTGCTTCCACTCCGCTCTCCGCACCTACGTCGACATGACCGCCGCCGGCGCCCTCCCGGACCATTTCGCCTTCCCGGCCGCCGTGAAATCTGCCGCTGGCCTCCATGACCTCGCGTTAGGCTGCCAGCTCCATGCTGCCTCCATCAAATCCGGCCATATATCATCCCCAGCCGCCGTCCCCAACTCACTCGTCACAATGTATGCCAAGTGCGGCGACATCTGCAACGCCCTCAAGGTGTTCGATCGAATTTCTGAGCCAGATCAAGTCTCGTGGAATTCTATAATCTCCGCACTGTGCATGTTTGAGGAGTGGGAGATGGCGTTAGAGGGCTTTAGGATTATGCAGGAGCATGGTTTTGATGAGAGCTCGTTTACACTTGTTAGTGTCTCGCAGGCTTGTACGAGCGTTGGGAAGCGCGATGGAAGAAGGCTTGCTAAGGAGCTGCACGGCCATGGGCTTAGGGTGGGATTATACTCTGATGGAAAGACATACGCATATAATTCTTTGATAACTCTGTATGCTAAGTTAGGAAGTATAGGGGATTCTGTTGCTCTGTTTGATAGGTTTGACAATCGTGATATTGTGACCTGGAATACGATGATCAGTTCCCTAGCGCAGAATGAACGATATATGGAGGCAATGGATGTTCTGAATCGAATGGTTGTTGGCGGGATTAAACCAGATGGTGTTACACTGTCAAGCATTCTCCCAGTTTGTACCCAGACTGACTTGTTGGATTTTGGGAAGGAAATTCATGCTTTCTCTGTCAGAAATAATGGCTTATGTGAGAATTCATTTGTTGCAAGTGCATTGGTGGACATGTATTGCAACTTTGGAGAGATTGTGAAGGCCCGTCTTGTTTTTGACGGAGTTTCAGAACCTAGATTGGGGCTTTGGAATGCAATGATCTCTGGATATTCACAGAATGCATTTGATGAAGAGGCCCTAGAGCTTTTTATTGTGATGGAAGAGGCTGCAGGGTTGTGTCCAAATGCTACCACTTTAGCAAGTGTCCTTCCTTCTTGTGTCCGTTCCAAGGCATTTAGCTCTAAGGAAAGCATTCATGGTTATGTTGTGAAGAAGGGTTTAGGTTCTGACAAGTATGTGCAGAATGCTCTTATGGATATGTACGCAAGGGTTGGAAAGATGGAGGTTTCATGGAAGATATTTAGCTGTATGGGGGCTAGAGATGTAGTTGCTTGGAACACTATGATCTCAGGCTGTATTGTCGCTGACCAACTCACAGAAGCATTTCAACTTCTGTCAGAAATGCAAAGAACAGGAAAGAGAACTGCAGAATGTAAAGAAGCAGAAGATGAACGTAGCAATTATGTAGGGCTTGACTATGAAAAACCCAATAACATAACTCTGATGACTCTTCTTCCATCATGTGCCTCTCTCACAGCACTAGTTAAGGGGAAGGAGATCCATGGCTATGCAGTTCGGAACAGATTAGACTATGATATTGCAGTAGGTAGCGCTTTGGTTGACATGTACGCTAAATGTGGTTGCCTTACCCTTTCTAGAAGGATGTTTGAGAGAATGCCCAAACGCAATGTAATTACCTGGAATGTGCTTATCATGGCTTATGGAATGAATGGACATGGAGAGGAAGCACTCAAGCTTTTCCATGATATGGTGGCTAGAAGGGAAGTTAGGCCTAATGAGGTTACTTTCATTGCAGTATTTGCTGCTTGCAGCCACTCTGGCTTGGTCAATGAAGGCTTGGAACTGTTTAATAGGATGAAAGTGGACTATGGGGTAGAGCGCAGTCCAGACCACTATGCTTGTGTGGTGGATATGCTTGGTCGTTCTGGGCAATTAGAGAAAGCATATCAGCTCATTAAGACAATGGAACCTGACTCAAACCAAACAGGAGCGTGGAGCAGCTTGTTGGGTGCTTGTTGCATCCACCGAGATGTTAAACTTGGTGAAATATCTGCTAATCAACTCTTTGAGCTAGAACCCAATGAGGCAAGTCACTATATCCTACTTTCTAACATATTTGCAGCCTCTGGCCTATGGGACAGGGCAAATGAAGTTAGGAAGAGGATGAAGGAGATGGGAGTAAGAAAAGAGCCAGGTTGCAGCTGGATTGAAGTTGGTGACAAAGTCCACCAATTCACTGTTGGGGACTCATTACATCCGCAGAGTCCACAACTCCATGCACACCTTGATGCTTTATGGGAAAAAATGAGGAAGGAAGGCTATGTGCCAGATACGTCTTGTGTCCTTCACAATGTTGATGAGGATGAGAAAGAGATTCTTCTCTGTGGCCATAGTGAGAAATTGGCAATAGCATTTGGTTTGCTGAACACACCTGCTGGTTCAACCATTAGAGTAGCTAAAAACCTTAGAGTATGCAATGACTGTCATGAGGCCACCAAGTTCATCTCTAAAATTGTAAAGAGAGAGATCATTTTGAGAGATGTAAGAAGATTTCATCATTTTAAGGATGGATCTTGTTCTTGTGGAGACTATTGGTGACACCGCTTACAATACACAATATGCATCGGTTGGCACCTTGAGTAGTATGCTGGTAGGCGTCCAATAGAGCATTTAATGGTATGTAATAAAAAAAAAATCTATGTAAACTATATCATCAGTAGGGAATCATATTTTTTTAATTGTAGGATTGAATGCATTAATCTTGCTTTTCCCATTTCAATTCAGTTTCTGCAAGTGTTTAGCCTATATATTCTTCTCTTTCCTCCAAATAAACATATGATTTTGTGGTTTTTTTAATCTTGTTTCTCTAACTAATTGTTATAAGATTATATTTACATTGCTTAGTGTCATGAACTTTAGTTTTGATTTGCATGTCACCACAGTTTCAGTAGTCTATATTCTCTTATCAGTGGTTGTTATATATATATATATATATATATATATATGGATTGTAGATGCCATGGTTGGTCAAGAATGGGTGCTGTGAATCATGCTGATCGCTATTAGGGCATCAATTTTAACTTACATGATCTCATTCTGTTGGAATTGTTATGTTGATCAGGTAGAATTTGCTAATTGTCTTATTGAGCATGCGAGGAATATAATTATGCTTTAAATTACATATAGATTTTATGATTCATATTATGTCTTGGATTGATCTAGTCTAATAGTCAACATTAACTTTTATGGCCGGTGTTACATATTCATTTTCTTTCTAAACCATTTCTTTTCAGGTAATTGTGCAACTTGATTGCCCCCCACAAACAAAAACCACGAATTTTTCTCGCAGATTTTGCAACTTGATACTCACTTATATAATGCTAGTTTATCTACATGATTAAAAAGTTAGAATACAATTTAGAAACTCATCACATAAATGAATTAGTTTGAATAGTGACTAGCTTGTTCATTTATGTTTTTGAACATGATCATTTGTTGTTTAAATTGGTAAAAACACGATGAAAAATGCTCATTTAATGATGGCATAGTTTTTTAGTTGATGATTTATTCTGTGTTATTGTATTAATTTTTTTATAGTTATACATTTAAATGTTAAAAGTTATTTATATCATTAAATGTATATCTATAATGAACATATCAAATAAATAATCAAATAGGTAAATTTAAATCCTTTCTTATTAATTTCTAAACTTCACCGAACAAGTTAAATATAGAAATTAGGTTATATGTTTAAATTATTAAGCATCAAACGGATGGTAAGTTAGGTTTGGTTAAAGCTTGATTTTGGCTCCTACTCAATGAAAAATTTAATAAATAAATTTGAACAAGTATTTGATAAAAAAAAAGAATGAAAGAGCCTGAATAATGCAGTACTTCACTTGATTTGATTCATTTACAGTCCTAGTACTTGTGGCTACCTCTATTAGCCTTATAGAAATGTTCTTTGCATCATCTATAGTAATATCATAGATAGTGATCCTTCTATTTTTGAAGACATTGATAACCATGATTCACAGCAAATTTTTGATTCTGAGAGCATTTTGAATGATGACACTTTGGTGGATTGAGGTTTCAGATTCTAGTCAGCAAATGGTGTCAAAAAATAAAAATATTATTATCACTCTCTAATTTTTAGCAAGCTTCATACTTGGCTGTCTAAATAAGTTGTTTTCCCATTGTGATGTTGATGGATCAGTGGCTGAGTCGATGGACCCCACTAGGGTGGGCAGTGGGCAAGAAGAGAGGGGGCTCAAAGGAAAATAATTCACCTTTAATTACTTATAATTGAAAATCAAAATTGTGAGGAATTAGGAAATGTTTATTTAGGGAAAGAGGCTTGATTTAAATTCAAAATTATGAGGAAATTAGGAAATGTTTATTTAAGGAAAGTTGTCTGATTTGAATTCAGATTTGGGAGGAAAATAGGAAGATTTATATTAGGGTTAATTACATTGTTTTATTTTCATTATGTGAATTATATTTTGATATAGTTTTCTTTGGAGTTGTTCCTACCAATGCCTAGGATTTGTGAAGAGTCAATCTGCCTCTCGAATAGTATATAAACTTGTATCTTGGTTTATTTTGTCGAAATAAAAATCTTGCTTGCTGATTTCTGCCATGTTTTCTCTTTGTTATTGTTGTTTTTGCTGTGAGGAGATCGGATTCCTATCAAATTGGTATCAAACACGATTCGGGACCTATGATGCCGAAGAAAGTGGATGATTTGGAAGTGAAACTAGAATGAGAAGTTGGCCAACTCAAATCTGAAGTTGAGGAATGGATTTCATCCATGGAAGGAAGGTTTTCTAATCTACAGGACATAATGAAGAAAATATTAGAGCTTCACACTCAACTGACAACATCGGAGGCGAGAGCACAGGCGATGGCCAAGAAAGTGAGGGAAACCCCAGTATCGACATAATGGGGGATGATCAAGAAGTAGAAATCTTGGGCGACAGGGAAAATACATCATCTCTAGAACTGTAACCAAGAGGGAGATGGGTGAAGCATAAGACATGAGGAGAAATAAGGAGGAAGAAACGAGAAAGGCTAATTTTGAGGAAGAGGATATTTATGAAAGGAGGAGGGGTGGGAGAGAATAATGGAGAGATCACAATAATTGCCTCATGGGAGGAGCTGAAGGTGGAAGAGGAAGTTGGGGCTGAGGGGATTTGAGAGTGAGAAAACTGAAGATTCCTGTTTTTGAGGGGGAAGATGCTCATGGGTGGATCTATCGGGTGAAGAGGTGGTTTGAGGTGAATGGGTTGACAGAGGAGGAAAGACTCATGGCGGTAGCTTTTTGCTTGAAGGAGGTCTTATCTTAGTATCAGTAGAGAGTCATGTGAGATCCAATTCGATCGTGGAGGGAGTTCAAAGATAGTTTATTAGAATATTTTTGAACCAGTCGGAAAGGAAACTTCTAAGATCAATTCTTTGCTCTGTTTCAGAAAGGGACAATGATGGATTATTGGGAGAGATTTGAGTACCTTTTTAATCGATTGGAGAGGCTATCTGAGACAATGTTGAAGGGGAATTTCAACAAGGGGCTCAAGCCACTGATTAGGGTTCTTGACCAATTATTGGGGCCCTGAGATTGGGGGAGGTTATAAAGGTAGTAGCCCAATTGGTGGAGGACAAAAACTCACTTGAGAGAAGCAATAAGGCAAGCAGTCTGGGAGCTTCATACCATACGAATACTACTTTTTTGGCATTAAAGATACAATTTGTGCCCATTTAGAGAGAAGTACCCAAGCATAGGGGATTAGGAGTATAGCCCGAGGGAAATTACAAGCAGCTGACTGAGGCAAAGGTTTAAGAGAAGTGGGCTAGGAGACTGTTTCTATTGCGATGAGAAGTTTACACCGAGCCACTGCTGCATGGATCGTTCATTGCAGGTACTTAGAATTTGTTATGAGGAGGAGACGATTGAGGAGGAGGAGCATTTGCACCTAGATGTGGCGGAGACCTCCCTGAACTCAATGGTGGGTTTATCTCAAATCACAACATGAAGGTGAGTGGACAGATAGGAGGAGAATCAGTAGTAGTTATGGTGGAAGTGGAGCGATCCACAATTTCATCTCCAACTAAGTGATAGACATGTTAGGGCTAAAGTTGGTCGACATAGGCTATTTTGGGGTGATGATGGGAATAGGGAAGGTGGAGAAGAGTAGAGGCATCTGCCCAGGGCTGATGGTGAGATTGTAGGAGACGATCCAGGTGAGGGAGGATTTCCTTCCCTTGGAGTTAGGGAGCACAAATGTAATTTTGGGCATGAAGTGGTTGCAAACCCTAAAAGAGACTAACGTGGATTGGAAGACATTGACTATAGAATTCATGGTGGGAGGGAGGAAGGTGAGGTCCGTGAGGATTAGGGGGATCCTTGTCTGTTCAAAATCAGGATTTCTCTTAAGATCAAGTTGCGGACAATATAGGGAGCTGGGATGGGATTCTTAGTATAACTCCAAAGCCTCGAGGGAGGGATATGGATGGAGAAAGAAGAGGAGGTTCTAGAGATAGTCCAACCACTTATGCAACAATTCAGTAAGATGTTCTAGTTGCCCTCAGGCCTAACTCTCCTAAGGAGCATGAGCATGCCATCTTCCTAAAGGAAGGGGTATCCCCTATCAGTGTTCGATCCTGCTGGTATTGACAGGTTCATAAGGATGAAATTGAGAAACTAATTAAGGAGATGTTGGAGGACCCCAGATCATTCATTCCGGTGTTAGTCCCTTCTCCAGTCCTGTGTTGCCAGTGAAGAATAAGGTCGATAGTTAGAGATTTTGTGTAGATTATCATGCTCTGAATAAAGAAATAATGTTGGATAAATTTCCTATACTAATTATTGATGAGTTGCTAGATGAGTTATATGGAGCAGTGATATTCTTTAAAATTGATCTGAAATTGCTACACCATCAGATCATAATGTGGCCTGTGAACATCCACAAGATTGCTTTCAAGACTCATAAAGGTTAGTACGAGTTCTTAGTGATGCCTTTTGGGCTTATCAATGCTCCAGCTACTTTTCAGTTGCTTATGAATAAGGTATTGCAGCCCTACCTTCGCAAGTTTGTATTGATTTTCTTTATGACATTTTGAGGTATAGCTAGTCTGAGGAAGAGCATGTGCAGCATTTGAGGGTCATGTTAGTGACATTGAAGGAGCATCAGCTATATGCCAATTTGAAGAAGTGTTTCTTTGCACAATAAATGACGGAGTATTTGAGACATGTGGTGTCTAAATCAAGAGTCTGCAGATCTTTACAAGGTAGAGGCTATAGTAGCCCTTCCCTAAAACCCTAAAGAAGTTGAGGGTTTTTTTTGGAACTCATAGGGTACTACAAAAAGTTTGTGAGGGGATACAGTTCTATAGCACGGTTGTTGATAGAGCAACTAAAGAATGATAGTTTAAAAGTGGGGGCAGCCACCCAAGCATTTGAGCAGTTGAAGAAAGCCATGATGAATGTTCCTGTGTTAGCAACACATGATTTCATCCAGCCGTTTGTAGTGGAGACATATGCATCAGGCTATGAGTTAGGTGCAGTTCTCATGCAGATTTAGAGATCCATAGCATATTTCAATCAGGTGTTGACCGCTAGGGTTAGACTGAAATCAATGTATGAGTGGGAGCTGATGGCTTTAGTGTTGGCAATACATAAGTGTTAACCTTGCCTGTTTGGGTGACACTTCATTGTTAGGGCCAACCACATGAGTTTGAAGTTTCTGTTAGAGTTGTGGATGGTGACAGAGGACATCAATCCTAGCTTTCCAAGTTATTGGGTTATGACTTCGAAATTCAGTACATGCCTTGGCTGAAAAATAAAGCTACATATTCTCTCTCTAGATGTGATGAAGACCCACAGGTTATGGCTCTATTTGTTCCCATGATGGTGTATTGGGAGGCCTTGAAGCCTTAGAGCCAGCAGGATAATGAGCTGAGTAAGATCAAAGGAGACTTATTGCATGACAAGAATAGTAATAGAAAGTAGGTGCTCTTTCGACCAAATTAGCTAATCATAATGAAAAAATGTGGAAGAACACACACCACAAACTTTATATTGTAAGGAATATGAATGACAATAATAAGATATAGTTGGATCCTCAA